CTGTGATTTCCGCGCTCGCTTTAGAACGGCACTTTTCCCAGTTTTATACGAGGTGATTCGGAAATATTTGTCGGAGAGTAATAACGGAACGTGTGGAAGAGGAATGGTACTTCTTTTTTCTTTTCTTATTCTCTTTCAAGTTGATTATGAATTTTTCTGCGAATATGCAACAGAGGCGATGTTTTCGTATCTTTTTTACGCGTGTTTGGGAATAATTTTTCTCGGAATTTTTTCTTTGTTTACTGAAATAAATTGTCGATGCTTTTTTCCCGATGTTCTTTGAAGAAAGATTAATGAAGGAGGAAATTTTGCAAGTGATATGGGAACCTTTATAAATTCACGCCGAACTGTTCGACGATATGCAAACGAAGTAAAAACTGGAGGAAGATAAACACCTTCTTTTAGATAGGAGTTTAATGCATAAAATAGCTACAAAGAGGAAAGCGATAAAGGAATTTTGAAAGCTCTTCATAGAAGTTTATACTGTTAACACTCGTGCATTAAATCTCCGTTAGTTTCACGAACGACGAAGCAATATCATTATCTACAGCTACAAACTTTTATCGCTGGTCCCCGTGCAAGATTCACGTTTGCATTCTAAAGGACAATTCCAAGAGGGGCGACAGAATGTTCATTAATATCACGAAGCAGACGAAATGAAAATTTTTACGTTTCTCATTAACACTGCACCGTGTACATCGATGAATTCAAATCAGCGATGGTTCAAGCGATAAACGTTATCGTTATATACGCACATAATTGAATAAAGCGAAATTTCAAAGTAGATTACTTCGATTCGTTTAAGTCCTTGAATTATAAGGAAAATAAATTTTCACTGGTATAAAGGACATCGTCCAATTAATACACGCCGATCTCGATAAAATGTTGCGTACAGCGAAAAGAGAATCCGAAAATATTGGACAAGCTTTTTTTTTTCAACTACTGAAATTGATATCTAGGGGTTAAAATTACATTTCGAAGTTGCAGGCTGCAAAAGTATTAATTGGAAAAACTCGAAAATGGATTGAAATGCAGAAAAATGTTAACATGTTCACCTGCCATTTTTTAAATGCAGAAAAAAGTTTGACTGAATTGATATGAATTTATTAAATTAATAGAGTATTTGCCAGATAATTTGCCATTTGTTTGGACGATTAAGTATTAACTTTGTACTCCTACTCCGTGTATGTACAAATGCTCCGATAATATTAATATATTATGCTATAATATTAATATCATTATTATAATAACACAATAATAATATTCCAATTTTATTCACTTGGAATCCTACTTCCAGCAAAGTACATATTTTTTTAAATTCCCGAAAATGAGACACGGTACCCCATAACCAAGTACGACGATGATCCGTCGATACATAAAATTCCCACTAACTTCCCGTTAAGGCGAAATAAATCAGATCGATTTCCTGCCCGCCGTCGAAAGGCGACGATTACCCTTGGTTCCGTGTGACAAAGGCCGCGGAATCGTTTCCACCGGAAGCGAAGAGGCGTTCCCGGATTCGCGATTGAGACAGCCCTGCTCTGCTGGATGTCGTCGTCTCGTTCGTTCGTAGACAAGCCTTTAATATTTCACGGGAAAACGAGAGCATTGATAGTCGTCGTCGACGAGGCGATGCTGGCTTGAGCGTAGCTTGCCTTCCGGTGAACCGGTGGTTTCCGTAAAGCGCGGAAAAGAGTTGACCACCGAGTGTCGTCGTTGGTTGCTTGCACTGGGTACACGTGGCCGTAGGCGTTAAAAGAAGGAAAAAGAGAAAGAAACGAGGGAGAAGAAAGTAGAAATAAAAAAGAGGGAGTGAGAGGGAAAGTAGACGACGACAACGACGACGGCGACGACGTCTCGAAAGGGCAGCGTCCAAGAGAAACGGTTCCGGGGAGACTCGATCCACGAGGACGCTTCCTTGTCGCCTTGGGACACTTCTTGCGTTTTCCCTTTTTTTCCCTTCGCTTCTTTAGCGACGGAAATTTGGTACCGCGCGCTGCACAGTGTTTCTAAACAGCCGTGTGAACGCGTAGAACTGTATGGATCATTGAGAGCAAGTGAGACTATTATAGATTGCGACATGGAAAAATTATTCTCTTCGTAAATTCGGATTGTTTAAGAGAAAAAATGAATTGCTTCTATTCAGTCGATCAATTTGAAACTATTCTAGTTCTAATATTTGAATTCAGTCAATCAAATTCGCACTACTCGAACTGAAGTATTCAAGTTCCTATATTCGAATTCAGCCAATCAAATAACTGATAACTATTTGAGTAACACGATGGAATAGAAGTGATCCTGAACGTTCAAGGACTTTACAAGTTTAGTCTGAATTCAGAGAGAGGAAGCAGAGGCTTTGATTAGAGCTTCTAGCCACAGTTGAATAGAAACGGTAGTAACCTGTGATCAATTTACCACTATAAAGAGACTTGAATCACTCAAATAGCTCTAAATGCATATACGATCCAACGAATAATCCTTGCGTGTTACTAAAGCGTTAATAATTACGAATTTACCTTTTAGAGTACCAGCCAACTGTACCAGAACACCGAACTACATTATTTAATTACACCGTAAGGGATTGGACAGCGAATAAAATGAACCGTGCCTAACAAACTTGAAATTTTGAAAATTATCAACTCAAAGACTATAAACTTCACTTCCCTCTTGGTTATCCCAAACTTCCTCGAGAAAAACTTCCTTCAAAATGTTCTATCTACCAAGAACGACCACTTCGTGTTTTCAATCTCCTCGTCGAAGCAACGAAAGAGGAAGTGCAGCAGCAGCAGCAGCAGCAGTAGTAGTAGTAGTAGAGGGAATACAGTGAGGCGAGCAACAAATTCATGAAACTTTACGCCTGATCCCGTCGAGAGGAGGCACGTGTATCGGTGCGGGAGGACGTTTTCTAAACTCGCCAACTAGTTTGCCGACAGTGCACATCTCAAGCTTCGCGCCACATCGTCGCTAATCACGCTTTACTACCTTTGCCGGCGACTTTCGAATAAGTTCCGTCAAGGAATGTCTTTGTTAACGCGCGAAGTTGACCGCATCGTCAGGCCAGGATCTCGTGATTGTATCGAACTTTCGCCGAGTTCGCCGTGACTATTCGAGCCGGACTCGTCGAAGCGTTCTTAATAATGCGAGAAGAGCTATTGTTCTTCGTCAACCCTCCTACCCCGTCGCGGTTGATTCGTACGGTGTCGTGAAATTGCTGAATGCTGGCTCGAACAATCGAACTATAAACCTCTTTACTTGTGCAACAGCTTCGTCAACTTGAATTCCTGCTTTAAGAGGTTAGACCATCATCCTTGAGACGTGAAAATGATACCTAACTTTGGCATTTTTTTTTCAGGCAATAATTAACACAATCGAAAACTTCTTACGGGGGTTTTGTTACACTACCCTCGAAGAATGTAGATGTATTTTTTCGTTTAATTTCTTTGGAAAATGGCGACGCTACAGCCGCATTACCGAACCTCCGTTTCCGATGGGGGACCTACACGGAGATGTCCCCTACTGTCGCACGATTCGACGTGGAAATATCGAGAATTTTGTAATATCGAAGAAGTACAAAGGATTGTTAAAATATATCGAGTTTTATAGAAATGGTGAACAAGCGAGGAGTGAAATTTTAGTATAAATTTTAATAAACTGGATTTTCCCTCTTTGCTAGTTTAACGAATACCTTGATGTATAACGGATAATGAAAAAGGAAATTAATGCTTACGATAAGTGGTAGTTGGTGAAATTAATGACTGCCAAGTAGTAAAAAGTAAGATTAAGAATTACGATAAGCACAAGGAATTAAGTGAATGATTATCATAGGAAGTGAGAAGTTAAATCGATCTGATTTCACTCCTTGTGTAAGTATGCATTATTACGCAATTAAGGGTCAAGTTATTGTTGAGGATTAAACAATACCTTCACGTATGCAAAAACATGCTTTTTATAGGGAAACATTAATTCTCATTTCCCTTTATATGGAAGCACTAAATTACTATAATTTTTTGAATTTTCAAGATCTTTTATACGTGTAATTTGATTTTCCATAGAAAAAATCTTTATGCTTCAAACGTTACTTTATTACTCGGATTTTTGCCTCATTCCCTCAGAACCCTTAAAGTTGAGTTCACTAGATTTCCGGACGTTAATGAACGAAATGAATAATGCTCGTATGGGAAGGTTATGAATTATCGCGTTCCTTTTTCCGTCTTCCTGTATAATCTTCGTTTTTTCCGGCCAAGTGAGGACAACGCGTGACAAAATATCTTGTATAATTTTATAGCCATTCGTGTAATGGCGATCAAGGCGTCGCTTCATTTTTCACGGGGAACAATGGCGAGAAATATAACGGAAAGGGGATGTGCAGTGGACTCTCGATTATTCAGGAGAAATAGAGGAGAACGTTTCGCGTTTAATCGAAATGTACGTGGACGATGTAAACCTTCACGGTAACTTGCAAAATATTACAAATTCAAAGAGAGAGAACAATAATTTAGATACAGACATACTTTCGATACATCTTTAGGATAAAACGTATTTTCATGACAAAATAAATAAAACTAAAATTACTGAAATTTTCAAAGAGGATTCACGTTAAAAAAAAAAAAGAACATTCTTCTGCAAAACAGGTAGAATTTCCCTCAACGATTATTTAAAGAAAAACGCATTCTCAAAGAGGTTAAGAAAACTTTTAATTACTTAAAAATGCTTCTCAATTCAACACTTCTTTCCCGGTGTCCAAACTTTTCCCGGAATCATCAGAATTGCGTTATGTAAATCACTAACTTTAAGCAACTTTTTAAACCAAATTTCGCAACCCTCTCTCACTTTCTTCCTCCTTTCCAATAAATTTATTTCATGCAAAAATTCACAAATGATCGACATTTTTCTTTCGACGCAAAGAAAGACTGTCGAAATAACGTGACACCCGTTAAATCGAGAATCTGCCATTTATACCTGAACGTTGAAAACGAAAAGAAAGATTGCCGAGTACTCACAGATAACGATGAGATGAGCGTTGGCACGGATTGGTTTAATGCGCAAATATGGTCCAACTTGGCACTGATACTCTCCATCGTCGGTCAAAGAAGCCCCTGTGATATTCAGATTGTAGATTCCGGCGTTTTGGTCTCCCATTAATCTCAATCGTGGATGTCCGACAATTTCTCCATCTGTGTAAATGTAAAAAAGGAAACGCTTATTTTCCCTTCGAACTTATCCTCTTACGATTTCAGCAAAAATTTGAAATTTCAGATAGATTCTCATTCGGTTCTTCGAATTATTCAGAATATTGAAAGAAATTTTCATTTTAAAGTCGACAAAAATTCATTCGATTCCCCCATTTAGTTAGAGTATTTGTGTAAAGTATAATTACCGTATACACAGTTCATAATAGTAGACAAATAAATTGTTACAGAAAATGATCGAATGTAGGATATTTCACTATTCAGCAAAAATTTCAACGAGTTGCAATTTTCGACGAAACATCATCTTTACGATTAACGACAAAAATGTCGTCAAAGACTCTCCCCGACCAGCAGAGAAAGGGCGGAAAAAAAGAATCGCGAGCTTTTCGTTCAACATCGTTCCTGTTATAGCAAAATGGAGGTTGTTACAGTCCTAACGAGCAAAATTGAAAAAGGGTATTACTGCAGCTTAAACGTTTTCACAGGTTTTCTTTCAATTTCCAACAATCTTTTACATTTACTAATTTTTTAAATTGTTATAGATAGTCGAATTGCGTTTCGTTAAAAAAACGAGGAATTCAATTGAAATATACGAACTATTTCTGCAATGAAAATTAATTTTTTTAAATTCTACTTTTAATACTATAAAATTCTTCATCCAGACAATTTAAATTAGTTAAATTACTTTACATCGATAATTTCTAAATTTACAACATTTCTTCTTATTTCTTAATCATTTCTATTTTCATGAGAAATCGAGATTAATATTTCCACGATAATGAAATACTTCGTCGAAGCAATTCTAACTTAAAAAAAAAATTTCTACCAATC